AACTGGGGCTGCAGCCGCTGGCTCAGGGACAGCAGCTCCCCTTGCAGCCGCTGCCGCTCCCGGCCCAGCTCCCCCAGCTCCTCCAGCAAGTGGCTGTTGCTCAGTCTCAGGGCCGACACCTCCTTCTCCAGCATCCCCTTGGCCAGGCCTCCTCCCAGCGGATGCGGCCTGCCCGGGGCCCCTGGAGACTCCCGCTGGGTCCCGGGAGCCCCCGTCTCCTTCTCCCCATCCTCTTCGGGGATGGTTTCTGAGCCTGCCTTTCGGGCTCCTTCTCTGGACTCCTGGGCCGGGGTCGCAGGGGTCGCTCGCAGCCCCCTCTGGGTCCGATCCAGCTTCAGCAGCACCTGCTCCAGCCTGGCTTCCATCTTCTCCCAGGCGGCCGCCGTGGCCTCCGCCCGGGACTTCCCCAGAACTCCCTCCAGGACAGGTCTCGACAAAGCCCCCAGGGCAGCATCCTTCTCTCGCCACACCGCAGCCAGCTCCTCCCTCAGCTGTAGCAGTAGCTGGTTCATGGCTGCTGTGCTGGCTCTTTCCGCCCCGGGGGCCTTCGGCCTCTCCTTCTGGCCAGCATGCGGCTGGTCTGCATGCTCAGGGCCAAGGGCCTGCCCACCGACAGTCGTCTGTTGCTGCCCTGTGGCTTCCCCCGGGATCTCAGACACTGGACCCTGGGGTGGCCCCCGTTCTGGTTGGGACCTTCCATGGGCTTCATAACACATCTCCCGGGGGGACGAGTCTTCGGTCTTCTTGGCAGCTAACACTGGGTTGGCGGCGGCCGCGGCTACTGCCTGCTGCTGCTTCTTTAGCTCTCGTATGCCCTCAGCCAGCAGGTCCAGGGGGCAGCCCTGCTCCATGCCATCCCCTCCAGGACGGATACCAGGACTCGGCCCGCCGGGAGCTCTGGGCTCCCGGAAGAGCAACCGCCCAAGCTCCTGCACCTGCTCCCGGATCTGGTTGGCCAGGCCCAGGTAGGCTGCAGCCTGCGCCTTGCTCTCTTCTGCCTTTCCCACCAGCTCCTGCTCCAACTGAGAAACTTTCTTCTGCTCCTCTTCGTACTTCCACTTCCACTCCTCTGAGCACACATCCTCTCGCTCCTCTTTCTGCTCCACCCCGGGCTCTGCTCCCCGGGGGCTCTTGGGCGGAGAACCCACTGGAGGGTCAGATGGAGAGGCCTCCCACACAGCCTTCCTGGAGCCGGGAGCCACTCCTCTTCACCCCAGCAGCCTTGCTTCCTGCCCCAGCTCACTCATTTTGTTCACTCACTGTATTGGACACGGTACCAGGTGCTGTTATAGGCACCAGGACATCGACAGTGAACAAAACAGACATGGCCTGTCACCTGGGGTGTTTACAGTCCAGCGGGGGGAGAGATTGACTGGGAACCCACACAGAGATGTTCAATCGCAGCTCAGGAGTCCTAGCGATAGCGCCAGCCAGAGCTGCCTTGGGTAAGACAGGGCTTCATTAAGGAACTCGGTGGCCCTGCTTTGGGGAACGCGGGGTCATCTCATAGCAGCAGCAATAAATAAGCCAACTCTGGACCACGGCGGCAATTATTCGTCAGGTGGACTGTTTCCATGGGGACAAATGGGCTTCTAAGGAGCTTCTCTGAGCCACTGGGGAGGATCTTGAAGATACAAAAGGGAACTGGCTTACCCCCCCGCCGCCAGCTCAGGGCCTGCTGCAGCAGCTTCCACAGGGCCTTGTCCTGTGTGCGCAGGCCGTAGTACAGAGCATCGTGGCCCGCGCTGTCCACCGCCCCCGCGTCCGCCCCATGGCTCAGGAGCAGCTCAGCCACTTCGGCGCTGCCCTTCTCACAGGCCAGGATCAGAGCTGACCTGTGGGTTAGGACAAATATATATATATTTTCAGAGAGGAAGGGAGAGGGAGAGAGAGAAACATCAATGATGAGATAGAGTCATCGATTGGCTGCCTCCTGCATACCCCGACTAGGGATTGAGCCCACAACCTTCTGGTTCATAGGTCAACACTCAACCATTGAGCTACGCTGGCCGGGCGAGACCAGAACTTTTCAAATGCCATTCCTGGAGCTGCAGCATCAGAAAGCAGGGGCGATGGCAAGGGCTTCATTTTTCTCTGCTCTACATATTAAGATTCTGCATAAACTCTTTATTGGAGAGAAGGGTTCCATTGCTTGGAAGATAGTTTGAAAACCAGTAAATTAATGAGTCCGGAGGTATTGATTCTGCTTCCCAAGTCAGGAAGCTGGTGGTGACAGCAGCTGAATAAAAGAATATAAGGAAAACTTTCTTCCCGTCTCAAGAGGAAAACAGTGAAACAGAGGAGATCTCTTCTAAGCCACCACTCAGAAGAGACCAAGAACACAGAGACCAGCCTGCACACACACACACACACACATACACACTCGCTTTGCCCAGTGGCTCCTTTCTAGATGGGCCAGGGCCTGGATTGGGGTGGGGAGACGGGGAGGGCTCACTTGTCATCCTTGTCTGTGACATTGACTCGGGCGCCTCTCTGCAGTACACACACACACACACACACACACACACTCGCTTTGCCCAGTGGCTCCTTCCTAGATGGGCCAGGGCCTGGATTGGGGTGGGAAGACGGGGAGGGCTCACTTGTCATCCTTGTCTGTGACATTGACTCGGGCGCCTCTCTGCAGTAACTGTGAGCAGATAGCTGCGTGACCGCCCAGCGAGGCGATCATCAGGGGTGTGCGTCCATCCTGCACGGGTTGTGGAGAGAGAGTTCATGAGAAGCCAGAGGTTTGCACGATGCTACCAGCTCCCTCTCCCCACACCTCTCCAGGAACAAAGCCCAGCTAGGGGCTAAATACCCCTTTCGAAGGGTTGAAAGCTCTCCAGAAGATAAGGCTTAACCTCTCTGGGAGGAAGAGGAGGGGGAGGGAGGAAAGGTGGTGCTGTCCAACCCCTGCTCACAGAAGTTAGCCAATCATGCTCAGAGAGAGCAGCAGCCTGCGGTGCAGGGCGCTGGCCAGCGTCCCGCTGATACTCACATTGTCCAGGACATCCAGGAAGGCCTCGTGGTCACACAGCAGGAGCACACTTGAGGCACAGCCCGAGGAAGCTGGGGAGGGTTGAGGGATGATCGGGCGAAGGGGAGCAGAAAGTGCACCTGGTCAGATCGCGACCCAACATCCCCTCCAACTATCTTAGTATCAGCCCTGCCCTCTCCACCCAACGTTATCCTCCCCTCCCTCCCTCCCCTATCTTCCCCGCAGCCCTGTGCCCACAGTCTCCTGGCACACACCTGCCCAGTGCAGCGGACTACGATTTTCTGCATCCACGGCATCTTCATTGGCACCGTGCTGGGAAGAGCCACAAAGGGAAGCCGCATGGAACAGAGTGTTAAGGTTCTCATCCCATACCCACCGTGGGGTCCCCAGCTTCCCAATTACGACAGGGAGGGGTGGGAGGATCATAGCTTTGTCCGACTGCTCGGCAGGCCCATTCCATTTCTTACAGGTGACAGGCAGCCTTGAATTTCAGCCCTGGTTCTTAAGCCTAGGGCCTGAGAACCACCAGGTTACGGATAAATAAGCATGCTAGGACTGTAACGCCTGGGTCATGGCCAGTACTTTAGGACCCTAATTGGGAACCTTGCAAAGGGCTGGGAAGAACAAAAGCGGAACGGCCGTGGGCCCAACGGCCTGTTGGCCTTCGTACTTTTGGAAACTTATTTATTAATTGTCCACAGGTCATTTCACATGTACATTTCCTTTGTGCTCTAGACTACGAATGCCTCAAAAACAGACAGTAGGATTTTGGTTTAATTTGAAACTCCCTGCCCTCCTTCTGCCTGCCCATCCTCATCACAGCAGCCAGTCTCTGAAGTGGCTCACCAATGGCGGGGCTCAAAACATGCATATTGACCGCGGGCCAGTCGGTCAGTCCCTGCCAACTCTACTTTGTGACCTGCCCTCAAGGGCAGCATTAAGTGCAGGGCCTGCACATAGTAGGTGTTAAATAAATTTTTGTGAATTAAAGAATCAATGATCACCAGCTCTCTCAGTGGGGAGGAGAGGGGTATATTTGATTCAATATTGCTGTGTCTTCAAACAAAGTTCGGAAACTCGGGGTCCGCTTCTTCCCTTCACAGGAAGGGTATCGTATCGAGGGGTTGCTCTACCTGCAGCAGGACCCTGACCCACTCTGGCTGGCAGGAGATGGTGGCCAAGTGCAGGGCGGTGCTTCCTGGAAAGAGGAGGAGGAAAAGAGGCGGGTGGGTGGCCCTATGCAGGCCAGTGACTCACAGGGAGGGAAGGCGAGAGACGCACAGATAATCAAAGGGAGATTAGAGAGAGAAGCGCTCAGCTACATGGGGCCAGAAATTCCTGTTCCCCAGGTGCCCGTACATGCGGTGGGGGCAGCAGGATAGTCAGACATTCAGTCAGGCCCTTGGAGGCTGCCAGGTGAAAGCTGCGGAAGGATGAAGGGACCAGGGGATGAGGAATGGGAGAATCTTCGTAATCTTAACAATCACTGCCTGCTACACCTATACTCTCTAACCCCAAGGCCAGTCCCAAGAGCTGAGAGGGAAAGTCCCCTGGCCCGACTTACTGAGAAAGAGAGGGCTCTAAGGTAGTGATGGCGAGCCTTTTGACCTCGGGTGTCAGCATTTTGAAAAACCCTAACTTAACTCTGGTGCCATGTCACATAGAGAAATGTTTTGATATTTGCAACCATAGTAAAACAAAGACTTATATTTTTGACATTTATTTTATATATTTAAATGCCATTTAACGAAGAAAAATCAACCAAAAAAATGAGTTTCCGTGTCACCTCTGACACGCGGGTCAGAGGTATATTTGATTCAATATTGCTGTGACTTCAAACAAAGTTCGGAAACTCGGGGTCCGCTTCTTCCCTTCACAGGAAGGGTATCGTATCGAGGGGTTGCTCTACCTGCAGCAGGACCTTGACGCACTGTGGCTGGCAGGAGATGGTGGCCAAGTGCAGGGCGGTGCTTCCTGGAAAGAGGAGGAGGAAAAGAGGCGGGTGGGTGGCCCTATGCAGGCCAGTGACTCACAGGGAGGGAAGGCGAGAGACGCACAGATAATCAAAGGGAGATTAGAGAGAGAAGCACTCAGCCACATGGGGCCAGAAATTCCTGTTCCCCAGGTACCCGGGGGTGGAGGGGGGTAAGGTGTACCCAGCTGGCAGGGAGGGGGACCTCTGGAGGGTGCCGGCCAGGCTTTCTGAGGAAAGAAGCAGGGGCTGCGGTGGGAACCTCCAGCAGGGCCCCCGCACGGGCCCCCACGGCTGCCTGCCGTAGAGGGAAAAGCAAGCAGCGTGGCCCAGTCTGACTCACCGTCCTCATTCTTGCTGTTGATGTCGGCCCCATTTGCAAGCAGGATAGTCAGACATTCAGTCAGGCCCTTGGAGGCTGCCAGGTGAAAGCTGCGGAAGGATGAAGGGACCAGGGGATGAGGAATGGGAGGATCTTCGTAATCTTAACAATCACTGCCTGCTACACCTATACTCTAACCCCAAGGCCAGTCCCAAGAGCTGAGAGGGAAAGTCCCCTGGCCGACTTACTGAGAAAGAGAGGGCTCTAAGGCAGTGATGGCGAGCCTTTTGAGCTCGGCGTGTCAGCATTTTGAAAAACCCTAACTTAACTCTGGTGCCGTGTCACATACAGAAATTTTTTGATATTTTCAACCATAGTAAAACAAAGACTTATATTTTTGGTATTTATTTTATATATTTAAATGCCATTTAACAAAGAAAAATCAACCACAAAAATGAGTTTGCGTGTCACCTCTGACACGTGTGTCATAGGTTCGCCATCACTGCTCTATGGCCTACTGTCATGAGTGAGAGGACGCTGGAAGCAGATATAGAAATAAGAGCTACGGGTGCCAAGCAATGTCAGACTATGGCCGGGGCGTCCAGGCCCCTTCCCAGACTGGCCGTGTCACAGGAAGAGTCAGCCAGACCAGAGCAGAGGGCTGGACAGGGGAAGCCGACTTGGGCAGAGACAAGAAGCCATGTCCCTCTTGTCCTACTCACTCCTCTTAGCCGTGTGGCTGTCGTAGCTACCACTTCATTCTGAACTTTCCAAGCACACCCCCCTCCTCTCTGTGCAATGCAGAAACACTCGATTTACTGTATGGGTCCGTTTCCTGTTTGTTTCGTGGATTTTATGTCCTCTTTGGTCAGCTTTGTAAGCTGGGTTGTGAGGTGGATGGAGCTCATAGACAATATCTTCTTCCCTCACTTCGTGCCGCACTTGATAGGTAGCAAAGACTTATTAGGACAAAAAGGGCCCTGAAGTTGTAGGTGTTCCCTGTCCTCTGACATATTGGGGTTGGAGTTTTCAAAGGGAGTCACATGCCAAAGGTGGGTCCCGGGGACGGACTTACGGGGACTGGCCGTTGGCGTCTAGCTTGGTGGGTCGGGAAGACTTCCTGGAGGCCAGGGCGGCCACGCGCCCCACGTCCCCCCGCTGCACGGCCTCCAGCAGCTTCTGGTCACGGCGGTTCCATCTCTCCACCTGGTGCAGAGCCACAGATTGTGGTTTAGGTGAGGGTGGAGTGGAGAAAGGAAGGAGACTGCCCTAGCCAGTTTGCTAAATGGTTAGAGCAGGGGGCTCCTCAAACTTTTTAAACAGGGGGCCAGTTCACTGTCCCTCAGACCGTAGGAGGGCCGGACTATAGTTCAAAAACAAACTATGAACAAATTCCTATGCACACTGCACATATCTTATTTTGAAGTAAAAAAACAAAACGGGAACAAATACAATATTTGTATTTGCATGTGGCCCGCGGGCCATAGTTTGAGGACCCCAGGGTTAGAGCGTCGGCCTGTCAACCAAAGGGTCCTGGGTTCAGATTCCGGTCAAGGGCACATACCTTGGTTGCAGGCTCCTCCCCCAACTGGGGCCCTAGTTGGGGCTCGTGCAGGAGGCAACCAATCCATGTGTTTCTCTCACATTGGTGTTTCTCTCTGTCATTCCCTCTCCCAATCTCCCTAAAAGTCAATGGGAAGGTATCCCCAGGTGAGGATGAACAGAAAGGAAGGAGACGGTTAGGAAGATGCCAAGCCAGGGGAAAGGAACATCCCTGAGGGCCTGTCAGTGTCCCACTCAGCCTAGATCACATGGTCCTCGTTAGGTGAGCAGTTACATACCACCAGTTCATATGCCACCAAGCACCTCTTCTGGTTATTGCCAGCCCTGGGTCAGAAGGTGCTTGGACTACTGAATTAAAAATCGCTTTGAGCCCGAGCTGGTGTGGCTCGGTGGATAGAGCGTCAGCCTGCGGACTGAAGGGTCCCAGGTTCAATTCCAGTCAAGGGCATGTACCTTGGTTGCGGGCACATCCCCAGTAGGGGGTGTGCAGGAGGCAGCTGGTCGATGTTTCTCTCTCATCGATGTTTCTAACTCTCTATCTCTCTCCTTTCCTCTCTGTAAAAAATCAATAAAATATATTTTTAAAAAATCGTTTTGAGTGCTGGATGCAGAGCATTTCAAATGCCTTTTTCACCATCGTTATGACTATCATTGTGGGTGCACAGCCCCTGACTCCCTTCCCTTTTGCTCTCGGGGTTTTGCTGGAGCAAACGGAACCGACCGGCCACTCCCGATTGGGCTCACGTTGCCTCTCAGCTTCCCACGCTGCTCCGCTTCTTGTCTTCAGATATTTGGGGAATCACGGCACCTAACGTCAGGTCACAGCCCTGAGCCCAACTATCTACCCATCGGCTTTGGGCCCCAGAACTGGGAGGAGAAGCTCAGGGTTTCGGTTTTCCCATCTCATATCTCTGCCATTACCTATTGCTCTTCCCTTTCAGGGCAACCACCGCCAAGAGGCAAATACAGGTCTCTCCTAGGTTTGAGGAGGCAGCAGAGGCCTCTCGCCTACCCCTCCCTCCCCACCTTCCCTGCTGCTGACAGGGAGCAGCTGTCCCAGATAAGGCCACACCCGGGCATGCATTGTTCCATTATTCCAGCGTGACTTTCTCCAGGTGCTGGGGTAATTACAATAATTGAAGTATCACAGGGTGTGAGAGAGAGCTGGGTAAAACCATCCAGGGCTAAAGGCACAGAAAAGCCTGGCTTGACCCAGAGAAGGGGAAGGAAAGGAAGAGGGGATGCAAAGATCCGTGGACGGTGAGAAAGGGCTGCAGGGGGGCTTTGTCAGCAGGCCCGAGTTTGGGGTCTGGTTCAGCTACTTTCTCAGTTGTGTGAGTGACCTGGAGTAAGCCCTTTCACACCTCTCACCTGTCTCCCCCTCTGTCACGTGTGGAAAAGAAAGACTGCCTCGTTGTGCTGTGAGCAGTAAATGAACTAATGTGTATAGAATCTCTTTTGTAAACTGAAGACCTACACAAGCACATGGCATCCTTCTGACAAAACAGGAAGTGCCGGGCTTTGCTGGTGGGACATTGCATTTTATGAGGTATAATCTCAACAAGGAAGAGGCTATGGGAGGAGGTGGAAAAATATAGGGCCAATGGAAGCCAAATAACTCATTTTCAGATACTGTTTACATAGCTAGGGCACATTATCCATTAAAAACAGGACAGATTTTAAATGTCCCAACCATAAAATGACCCAGGGGGGATGGGGTTAGGGGTAAGACGCCAGGACACACTTGTAAATCCTCAGAGGCCTTTGTGCTGTTTCACTTGATGCTGTATCACCCAGCCGCTCACCCTCCCTGGAAAGTGGTTAGGGCTGATATTATGTTATCTATGTGACAGAAGACGTAACCAAAGCCCACTGAGGTCAAATAACTGTGCAGACACACCACAACTGGGCAGGAACATTGAGATTAGAACCGAGGCCCCCTGCTGCCCAATGCCAGTTCTCACCACCAGACCACACTCCTACCCAGTGATGGGAAACATTTTACTTATTTCCAAATAAGCAGCCTAAGACTGCCTCAGGGCAGGGCCGCCCGCTCTCAGACGCTACCTTTCTGCACAAAGAGTCTCCAAGCAGGTTCCTTCTCAAAGGACAAAATAAGCAAAATGATTGCTCCACATACCAACAGACTGAGGTGTAAGAACACCTTATTCAACATCCCTTGGGTGCTGGGTCACCCTCGGAACAAGCAGAGCGCTGGCACTATGCCTCCAGCACAGCCACTGCTGTCCGCTGGCCTCAGTGTGAAGTCCTCCGTTTAAAATCCTGATTCTAACACTTCCTATCCTTGTGAAAACTTCTCTGAACATCAGTTTCTAAATGACATAAAGCACCCAGCACTGTCTGGCACATAGTAGGTGCACAATAAATGTTTGTTGAAGCCCCATTCTTTCTAGCCTTTTGGGGCTATGGACGAAAGGGGCCGCATGCTAACCTGACAAGCTCAGGGGAGGCCTGCATGGCGGTCTTGCAAACTCAGAGACCTAAAGTCACCACAAAGGATGGTCTGAAATGAAACTTTAACTAAAAGCAGTTATAGTAGGTAATTACATTGTAGGCCGGTATCTTCACTGACAAGGTCAACCTTTACCTTAACTGAGCCAATCTGTCTTTTTGCATCTATGATAACATACCCCTGAAGTGTCTGGGTAACTTGTAACTTCCCCTTTTCTGGACCCCTTGGGGCACAACCTAACTAATGCGCTTGGGCTCCAGGACAGACACCATAAATTCCTTCATTGTCATGTTAATTGTTCCGGCACCCACCTAAGCATGTGTCTATCATTTTACTTTTTATCCAATCCCAGGGGTTTCCCTGCTTTGCTTTCTCCCGCCTCTCTAGTCTATCACCAATGGATTTCATGTCACCCACCTACGTCCCTTTCCTTTGATTGCAAATGTATAAATACAGATGTAACCAGGCATTCTCCAGAACATTCTCTCAATTCATTGAGGTTCTGCTTCCGGGCATATGTCGACAGTTTGGCTCAAATAAACTCACAAAAATTATTTACAGGTTTCAATGTTTTTTTACGTGAATGGGGGCAAATTTGGAGTTCCTGGGCTCAGAATTCTCCGTACAGGGGAGTGGAAGGAAGAGATCTTGCTCATATCAGCCGATGCTTAACAGCTAGGCTGTCTAGATGGTAACAGTGTTTCCTAGCAAAGTAGACATTTTTCTTTCCAGATAGACAGTTCTAAACCCACTGGATTTACTTCCTACAATCTTGTTATACGAAGAGGAATTTAGAATAGGTGGAAATTCTTCATGGCCAAAGCTCTGCGGAGCAGGGTGGAGAAAGGCAGAGCTAAATTCCAAGATCTCATCCATTGCTCACCCAGCACCTTGGAAAAGAGGTCCTGGATTACCATCACAGCCTCAAGGGAGCAATTACCAAATTAACCAGCAGATTCAAATACAAGAATAAGCGTTGTATTTCTGTAGTTAAGATTAGGGGGCCTTCGTAAAAGTAATTGCAGCTTCTTATCTCTGGCAGTGCGCCCATAAGCTTCCCACCAAGACCCGGGCGCACCAATAGCAGAGGAAGAGTGGCCACCGGAACCAGGAGCTCACTCTCAGTTTTTAAAATGCAACTGACATTTCTCTAAACTGATTCAGTCCCAACTGTTTAAAGCTATTTTCTGGCCTACTTCCTGCAAAGGCAGAGTAAGCTAATATGTAAGACGCCCTCCTCAAAAGCTTCCTTTACTTGACTAAAATAAGATTATAACAGCTGATTTTTTGTCTGTTTGCTCAATTTCCTATATTCTAGATAGCTTAGATTAGTTTTAAAATGATCAAGTCCCAGCCTGTGTGGCTCAGTTGCTTGAGCAACATCCCATGCACCCAGAGGTCGCTGGGGGTTCGATTCCCATTTGGGGCTCCATTCCCAGGAGGGGGTGTGCAGGAAGGC